GATACAGCTTTAAATATTATGTTAGAAGGGCCGATTGGTGCAGCAGCGTTTAATAATGAATTCGGCCGTCCTAATATAACGGGTTATTTTCGAACTTATGAGGCCGAAGTGTCCTGTGCCAAAGGCAGGGAGTCGCGTGGTTATCATAAGCCGATTATGTTAGCTGGTGGTGTAGGTAATATTCGCCCCAATAATATTGAAAAGAGAGATCTCCCTGAGGGTACGGCGATTGTGGTCTTAGGTGGCCCGGCGATGTTAATCGGTCTTGGTGGCGGCGCAGCTTCTTCAATGACGAGCGGAACCAGTGCTGAAAATTTAGATTTTGCGTCAGTACAGCGTGGTAATCCCGAAATGCAACGGCGCTGCCAAGAAGTAATCGATCGTTGCGTAGCAATGGGAGAGGCCAGTCCAATTTTATCTATCCATGATGTTGGTGCTGGAGGTATCTCCAATGCCATTCCTGAAATCATTAACGATGCCGGGCGTGGTGGCAAAATTGAATTACGCGCTGTACCCAATGATGAGCCTGGCATGGCACCGATGGAAATCTGGAGTTGTGAAGCACAAGAGCGTTACGTATTAGCGATTGATGCGGATCGTTTAGAGTCATTTGAAGCCATTTGTGAGCGTGAGCGCGCAGTGTATGCGGTAGTCGGTGAAGCCACCAAAGAGCAACAACTCATCGTTGGCGACGCTTATTTTGAAAACTCACCTGTCAACATCCCGATGGATGTGCTACTGGGCAAGCCGCCGAAAATGTTGCGAGAGGTGCACCACCAAACTTTCCATAAGCCCAAGTTTGAATGGGCTGATTTAGCGTTGGACGAAGCGATTGAACGCGTATTGAGTTTGCCTACTGTCGCGTCAAAATCGTTCTTGATCACCATTGGTGACCGCAGTATTACAGGCATGGTGAATCGAGATCAGATGGTCGGTCCATGGCAAGTACCCGTGGCCGATGTGGCGGTCACCGCAGCCGATTATAAAGGGCTATCATGGTGAAGCAATGGCCATTGGAGAACGCACTCCCATTGCGCTGATCAATCCAGCGGCTTCTGGACGTATGGCGATTGCCGAAGCGATTACCAATATTG